GAGAAGAAGAAGAAGAGGAGGAAGAAGAAGAGTCCTGCAACTATCACTAAGCATTCTCTTCCCTCTCTTTTAATTCTTGTCATGAACTTCTATTTGGATGTTGTTTGTATGTTTTCCATGATGTGTGAGTAGATTTATCATTGTAGGTTAGGGATTAAGGTTGTGTAAGGATCATGTGAGCATAACCTATCTTTGAAACTATGGGTTTTATAATTTGGTTTGAATGAATGAATCTTAATGCTATGAATCTTGTTGGCCACTTGATTTGTTGAACCTAGAATTTAGTTTGCATAGAGATATGGAACTAAGTTTGGAACTCTTTCATTTGAATAGATGAACATTGCATTGAGAAATGAATGAACATCTAGGAATCATGATGGTGGATTTAATGCTCTTAAGAGTTTCAATCTATTTAGAATCGAGAGATCGGTAGTTGAACTTTTAGGAAGTGAGGTGAGACTCGAGAGAGTAATCCTCTATAGCAAGAACTTGAATTTCCCGAATCATAACTCTAGTTACGAAGATATATCCGTAGAAGCGATCCTTACATAACCCGTAATTCCCGACACCTACGATGTTTTATAGAATTGTGCTAAGTCTTTGCTTGTATTTGCTTTAATTCGTGTTTACTTTCAGTTATAATCATCACCATCATCATTATCGTCTCTGACCGAAACCGAGTAATAATCGTAATTGTTGTCGTTAAACCACACGTGTCCTTGTGTTCGACCCTAGGTACTACAATTGATCCGTACACTTGCGGTGATTGTATTTAGGAATTAAAACAAGATTAGATCACATCCTAGATCGACATCACTCGTCGCACCGTCAAACTAGTCAAACTCGTCACACCATCACGAATTTCGCGAATTTATCATTTTCACACTATAAACATGTTAGTAAACAGTCCATGCAATAATTTGTACAAGTAAAAAATAATCGCAACTCTCTAAATTCAATACCTTATTTATTTTACAATGCATGTTCTCCCAAAAGAAACCCCAAAGTTCTAGTACACTTTTTGTAACACATTAGGTTAGGATAGATTATATTTAATATGATTTACGAATAACAAAAACATGTTAGATACACCATAATAAGCCTTATATACCATGCTGAACACCGTCATACTTGTCGCACCGTCAAACTAGTCAAACTCGTCACACCATCACGAATTTCGCGAATTTATCATTTTCACGCTATAAACATGTTAGTAAACAGTCAATATAACAATTTTTACAAGTAAAAAATAATCGCAACTCTCTAAATTCAACACCTTATTTATTTTACAATGCATGTTCTTCCAAAAGAAACCCCAAAGTTCTAGTACACTTTTTGTAACACATTAGGTTAGGGTTGATTATATTATTTTCCAATATGATTTACGAATAACAAAGATACGTTAGATACACCATAATAAGCCCTTATACCACGTTGAACCTTGAAAATTTAATTTACACTACCATTTGACCAGTTTGACTCGTCACACCGTCATACTCGCCGCACCGTCAAACTAGTCAAACTCGTCACACCCTCACGAATTTCGCGAATTTATCATATTTCATAAATTTATCATTTTCACACTATAAACATGTTAATAAAATACCCTATATAACAATTCATTTATATCTATATAATACATGTTTTTCATTTTATTTATTTATGTAATATAGATCAAATATTAAGATAAAAACGAAATAAACCATAAATATCCAAATTAGATATCGGATTTTAAAAGAAAATTTTGTCTATTATCGAGATTTTGTTTAATAGATGAAAATTTTGAAGATTTCACTTATTTTTTGTAATTAATTAACCAAGAAATTATTTGGAAGAGAGAAGATTCGAAGATAGAGAAAGTGTAACTAAAAAAAGCGTAACAGAGGAGAGAGAATGAGAAAAAGAAAAAAGGGAAGAGAGAGAACAACAGTGAAGAAAGAGAAATAAAAAACTCATTTTTATATAATTATATTAAATAAAAAAGTAAAGGGTATTATAGGAAATGCATATTTATAAGGGTAAATATGATGTTGCATTTTTTTTTCTTGAGATGGAGGGTAGAGGTTGAAGTCCAATGTATCATTTAAGGTTATTTTTGCAATTGGCCCTCGCCATGGACGTCAAACGGGAAGCTTGACAGGAGAAGCTGTAAGAGGGCATCCCTAACTTTCAATCGGGGCATTATCAAAAATGCCCTTAAAATGCTACTTGTATTTCACAGAGTATCCATCCCTTAGAAGAAAAAAAAACCCCTTCAGATATACCCTTCACATGTGTACAATTTCCATTATACCCTTATATTATAAAACAAATAAAATTAAAATAAATAAAAATAATAATTTCCCTCCTAAAAAGCAGTGTCAATTTCTCTCTCCTCATTATCAGTTTTCATTCTCTCTCCTCCGGCATTTGCGCTCTCTCTCCTCCGTTTGCTCTCTCTCTCTTCCAATTTGAACTATGTCATCGATTTCTCTCTCCTCATTATCAGTTTTTTCTCTCTCCTCCGACATTTTTCATTCTCTCTCCTCCGGCATTTGCGCTCTGTCTCTCCTCCGTTTGCTCTCTCGTATTTTGCTCTCTCTCCTCCGAATTTCACTCTGTCTCCGCTGCCGCCGATTTGCTCTCTCTCTTTCTCCATCGATTTGCTCTGTATCTCTTCCGATTTGGTTGCTCTCCCTTCAGATTTGGTCTCTATGTTCTCACATTTGCTTCATTTATTTGATTTGTTTGCTTTCTCTTCGATAATTTGCGAAACTGCTTCAAATCTCGTGGAAATAGGTAAGTTTCGACTTAAATACTGTTATTCTGTGGGTTTTTTCTTGTTTTTGAGTTTTTACTGTGTTTTGTGGGGGAAAATCGAGTCACATGAGACATTTGGACATATGAGGCATATGAGTTACATGGGTTACACAATTATATGAGTCACATATATCACATTGGACAGACACATGGGTCACATGGGTCATGGGTCACGGGTCACATGGGTCACATGGATCATGGGTCACATGGGTCACTTGGATCACTTGGGTCACATGGGTCGAATTTATCGAATTAGTGACTTGTCATGGTTATGCAGTGATTAATCATGGATTTTAATATCAATAACAACTTCAAAATCATGTTCGTTTCAATTTTCATATTCATTCTGTTAACGTGTCATTCGGTTTGTAAATTTTTTTTACAGGTATAATGGATGTAATGGAGAGAACTACAATTATTTATTTTCTCTGTGAAGGAGAATGGATTGTGAATAAGAACGGAGAATACGAATGGAACGGGAGAGTTATGGACAACCAAAGATTGTTGTTCTTTTGTCCTCCAACTGAGGTAACATATGAGCAACTTGTCGAAGAGTTATATTCTAAGATGGCAATAGACAAAGATAAAACGAAGATCAAACTAAGCTATTTACCGAATGTAAAAGAAAACAGAAAGCCCACATACCTTTTGAATGACAAGCATGTTCACATTTATCTCCTGGACAGAATAAGTGGAATGAGAGGCATGCTTTATGTGGAGAAAGTACATGTATGTGTCAAAACATGTTAAAGACTATTTGCAAGCCTGTATGAGAACACACGATCTAATTCATAGTTGCAAGCCTGTATGTGAAGCAAGCGATACCATGAAGGGTACATCAAAGTTCCAAACGTTTTAGTGTGAGAACACACGATCCAATTCATAGTTGCAAGCCTGTATGTGAAGCAAGCGATACCATGAAGGGTACATCAAAGCTGGTTAAAGACTATTTGAAGGAAGAATATCCGGGTAAACTCGAGACGCCTACAGCAAGTGAATTAGTAGAACGCGTCAAAAGCAAGTATGGACTTATTGTGTCATATTTGATGGCATTAAGAGGCAAGCATAGTGCAGAAAGTGAGATTCGTGGTGACCCTTATGACCATTACAGTAGACTTCCAAAGTGGTTACACATGTTGATCAAAAGAAATCTCGGGACGCATGCGAGTCTTAGCTTGGACGATGATGGCTGATTTAAATATGTCTTTATCGCTTTGAGTGCAGCTATAAAAGGATGAAAATATTTGCGTAAAGTGGTTGTCATTGACGCAACGTTTCTAACATGGTCGTACAAGGGTGCATTAGTTGTTGCAACTGCACAAGATGGTGATCATCACCAATATCATTTGGCTTGGGATATAATCGATAGAGAAAAGGATGCATCATGGGCATGGTTTATGGAAAGATTGAAAGATGTAATACCAGATGAATCTGATGTCGTTGTGTTATCCGATCGGCATAGAAGCATAATTAAGGTTGTTAGAGAAGTGTACAAGGAAGCTGGCTACGGTTTTTGTGTAAGACACATCGCACAAAATATAAAAGTCAATGTTAATAAAGGCGTGGTAAGAAAGTTTAATAGAGGTGAATCTGTCGCTTCACTATTCTACAAATGCGCAGAAGCTTATACGCTCAACGAGTTTGAAGAGCGGTTTAATGATTTGAAAGTCAGGTATGTTATCTGTGACCCATGTGACCCATGTGACCTACGTGACCAATGTGACCCATGTGCATATGTCGTGCAGGTTTCCCAAATTTGCGGAGTATATGCAGAAAGAAGAACTTGATCCCGAGAAATGGGCAAGGGCAAAATTTACACGTCAAAGGTATAATCTATTGACTACAAATGGGGCCGAATCGATTAACTCCGTATTGAAGAAGGCAAAAAGGTTTCTGTTGCTTGGGTTGCTTGATATTTGTCTTGGAAAGACCGTGGAATGGTTCAATAGGCATAGAATGGAAGCAGGTTCAACTGATGACTCTCATAAGGTGACACCGTTTATTGATAAAGTGCTTCATGAGCGGTACGAGATAGCATGTACATATGAGGTAACTGTGCTGAACAGTTTTACGGACGAGTTTGAGGTGAGAGATAAAATGGGTAGCTAACACTTGGTGAGTCTAGGGGATAGATCATGCAGTTGTAAGATGTTTGACATAGACAAATATCCATGCAGTCACACAATCCCAGCAGTCCACAAGACTGGCAGAGGCAATATTATACCGGACTTATGATCTCCATACTTTCTCCGGGAGACATGGCGGTTGGCTTATCAAGAAACTGTTTATCCGGTTCCTG